GACCACGTTCTCTGCTTCCAGGAACTTGCCCTTTCCCAACATGAACTTCAACCTTGAAAACTCTGGTCCCTCCACTTCCCCCACAGAAGCCCCACCCAGCTCCCTCCTCAAAGGACCATTCATCCCTCCACTTTGCCTCCCTCCCTCCTGCCAGGTGGAGAAGGTGCACACCTTCCTGGATTACATCATGGGCGGCTGCCAGATCAGCTTCACGGTAAAGGCCCAGGAGATGGGGACACAGGCAAGAGGGACACAGGCTAAGTGCATAGTGAACTGAAGGAGCCCAGAATCCCCACTGTGCCTACTTGGGCCTCTCATGAGCCTTAGCACTGTCGGCCTGTTCCCCTCGCCCCACTCCATGAGGAGGCTACCTATGGGCTCACCCGGATTCATCTCAGTCCTCCCTACAGACCCTAGCTCTGGCCTAGCCTCTCTGTTGGCTCTCATGGATGCAGCATGCCCCTTTCCCCATCCCCACCAGGTGGCCATTGACTTCACCGCCTCCAATGGGGACCCGAGGAGCAGCCAGTCCCTACACTGCCTCAGCCCCCGCCAGCCCAACCACTACCTGCAGGCCCTGCGTGCAGTGGGGGGCATCTGTCAGGACTATGACAGGTAGGAGAAGGTGGCGGTGGGGGGACAGGCAGGGAGCCCTAGCCCGATGGGCCCCCACAACCTTTTCTTCTCCCCAGTGATAAGCGGTTCCCAGCATTTGGCTTTGGAGCTCGAATTCCTCCCAACTTCGAGGTAGGCCGGGGTTGAGAGGAAGGCAGGAGACGGTGGGAGAGTCAGACAAGAAGGAAAGACATCCCCTCGCTGCCTCACCTTACCCTCACAGGTGTCCCATGACTTTGCTATCAACTTTGACCCAGAAAATCCTGAATGTGAAGGTAAGGGGGAGATTCCCACCAGCCCTGCCTCCCCCGCTCCCTCCAGCTTGCTGCACACCCTGTACACCCCACAGCGGAGCACAGACTCCATTCCTGTGGGCCCAGTTCCCTGAGCCTTCACCCATCCAGTGCCTGTCTTCATTTGGTAAGACTTCCAGCTCCTGGCTCAGCATCTGCCCACCCAACTCCCCCAGCACCTGGACCATCCAGCTCTCCTTCTGCTTAGTGAGGAACCTGGGGGGCAGAGCAGTCCTGAGACAGGGAAGCACCTTATTGCTTCAAGGGTGTCAGAAAGGGCTCTCTGCTAATCTGTGCCAGCCTCATCGCTTTGCCCACAGAGATCTCGGGGGTCATCGCCTCCTACCGCCGTTGCCTGCCCCAGATCCAGCTCTATGGACCCACCAACGTGGCCCCCATCATCAACCGAGTGGCGGGGCCAGCCCAGCGGGAGCAGAGCACCGGCCAAGCCACGGTGAGGAGACCAAGCAGACAACCAGGCGCTGCCCCGAGTGTCCTCCGGTGGGGCCAGGGCCAGGGCCAGGGCCAGGGCCCCAACTTGAGGCGGGTGCCAACGACCTTGCACGCAGAGCCGACACTTCCTCCCCTCTGCCTGCCCTCAGAAGTACTCCGTGCTGCTGGTGCTCACGGATGGCGTGGTGAGCGACATGGCAGAGACCCGCGCCGCCATCGTGCGCGCCTCCCGCCTGCCCATGTCCATCATCATCGTGGGTGTGGGAAATGCCGACTTCTCCGACATGCGGCTGCTGGACGGCGATGACGGTCCCTTGCGCTGCCCCCGAGGGGTGCCCGCGGCCCGCGACATCGTCCAGTTCGTGCCCTTCCGGGACTTCAAGGATGTGAGTGCCCGGCGCCCTCTCTTGGCTGAAGGACTCCTCAGGTCCTCATGCCCCCAAATCTGACCTGTCTCTCCTACGGTGTTGATATCCTGCGAAGACTCTGGAGCCCCCGCCCCGCCACCCCCGGGTGGCCAACCAGAAGCCCCGCCCCCTTATTTGACCCCGCCTCCCCGACTCTTCCGCCGCTAACCACGTCCCCGCCCCCACCCCAGGCCGCACCCTCTGCGCTAGCTAAGTGCGTCCTGGCCGAGGTGCCGCGGCAGGTGGTGGAGTACTACGCCAGCCAGGGCATCAGCCCTGGGGCTCCCAGGCCCTGCACTCCAGCCACCACCCCCAGCCCTAGTCCGTGACTGCCTCCACCGGATCGACACTCCCTAAGCCTCTCAGTGAGTCCTGGTGGCCCAAAGGGGTGGACACTAGCGGGTGCAAGGTGGGGCTCGGTGGAGCCCGTCTTGGCTGGGTGTGGTGTAGAGGAGGGTGCTTATGACTATCCCACCATCTCCCAGGTGCCTGTCCTGACCCTTGTGACTTGAGTGACCAGTGCCTCTCCCTCTTGGTCCAGCTGTGCTCCTGGGTCCTGGAAGTGAGCGGTGAGCCCTGCCCCCATCTCTCCAGGCCCCACACCCCTCAGCCTTGTGGCCCCTCAGTGACTTTCTTCAGTGATCCTGACTTTCTGGCCGTTAATAAAGGGAACCACTCCTAGCACCTCAGCCTCTACCTATCATGCCTCAGATGCCCATTGTGCAGTTCGGAGCACCCACACGCGCACCATTAAGAAATGAGAACCAGCACCTTCCAAAATCTGAGCCAGAGTTCCAGGAAGCCTGATGTGTCTGCAGGTTCACCCCAACTATGTGCCAGAGGGATCTGAGGCGCCCCTACCCTCACCTCCCAACCCCAGGGGGCCCAGACACCATGAGGGTTAATTACCAGAGCTGGGGGGTTAATAAGGGGCTGTCAAGGGGGCAGGCTGACACCCTCTTACAGCTGTCTCCAGAGAAGCCCAGCTGAGTCTCCCAGGGGGCTGAATCCCGGCCCCCACACAGCTGTGGGGTGAGCCAAGAAGGGGTGTTGGGAGGACTGCAGGAGGCAGCAGGGCTGCTAGTGAATAATGAATACAGAGGGGGCACCTAAGGTCTGTGCAGCCTCGTTTTCCTGGGTATGTGAATGTGTGTGTGTGTGTGTGTGTGTGTGTTCACATACTGCACATCCTGACTCTCCATGAGTGTGGCCTTAATGGTTGGGGAAGTCCAGCTGTGTACTCTTAGTAACAATGGCAGCAAACATTATTTTTTAGCATGTGTGAAGCTTTGTGCTCAGTGCTTAAAATGCATGCACTATCACTAGGTAGTTACCATTACTTTCCCCATTTTCTGACAAAGCAAGCGAGGCTTGATTTAAACTCACCCATAGTCAAAGAAGATCTGGTGGCCCTGGAACTTGAGCCTAGGCCCATCTGGCCAAAGTGCCCACATTCTTAATCACTAGTGTGCAACTTCTGTGTGAGGTGTATCCGTGTCACCCTCGTCTTGAGACCCAGGTGTATGTATACGTGGCCTGACTGTGTGTACGGGTGTAGGTGCCTATGGGTGGGTGTCTCTGCCCGTGTGTGTGCCGTGCAAGGCCTCAGCCAGTCAAGGAAAGTGTGCAAGAGCAGTAGTGGGTCTGGATTGCAGCTCCAGAGGGCGGGCAAGGACACAAGTGATATCCAGAGTGAGGAAGAAGAGCTGGGCTCCTGGAGGGACCCTCCCTGCCCCAGCCTCTCCCTTCAATGATGCTGTGGAAGGGGATGAAGGAGAAGAGACTAAAGGTGCTGCGAGCCTCAGAGAGAGGAGCCAGAGAGGCTGGCCAGAGGCCAGTAGGAGGAAAGGGAGAGGAGAAGAGAAAGAAACCCCAGGGGAGATGGAGTAGAGGCCTCCCATAGCAGGTTCCTGAGTGGAGGAGAGATGAGCTGGGCTAGAGGAGGGGGAGGAGGGAACAAGTACTGTAATGGGAAGAGACAGCTGAGGAGGGGGTGGATAGAGGGGGGCAGAAAGGAAGAGAGACATATGGGAGCCTCTTCCCCACGCCCCACTGCTTCTCCCGTTTATTGTGTCCCTTAGAGGATCTACAACAGTGGCTGGTGAGGTAGCTACTCCCAGCTCAGTGCCTCTGCTCTGCCCAGATCCCTGCCCACTCTCTCCATAGGCTGTTGAACCAGACGGCTGGGTTACCATGGCAACTGTGAGACCTCTGGACAGCCATAGGCAGGCCAAGCAGGTCACTGCTGCTCCCAGGCTTCTGTGCAGTGGTAGTGGGAGGGAGAGGTTCCATCTGGCCCAATCCCCGCCTCTCCACCCCATTTTCATTGGGCCTCCAGAACTGAGATGCACCACTCAGCCTAGGTGGGGGTTTCCCAGTTTCTCTCTCTCTCTCTCTCTCTCTCTC